TAGGCGGAAGGAGTTGCCGATGTAAATACTGCAGGACCTGAGTTTCTCTTCCTTCCTCTGTTCGGCTATCCCTAACTGGGTTTCTCCTTGTTCACTTGGACATCGTATACCTCAGCTCAACGGAGCCCAATGTATGATGGCGCCTGGTGTGAACTTGGCCACGAAGTCGGCCAAAACTTGGCCTTTGATTGCTGTTCTAGGTCTGAATTTCAGGTCATATTAGCCCAACAACACTATCCATCTGGCTATCCTACTTGTCAAATCTCTTTGCTGCAACAAGGACTTCAAAGGATGCTCAGTTAACACCACAATCTTGTGGGTTTGAAAGTAATGATTTAGCTTCTTGGAGGCCATTACTAAAGCTAGTGTCAACTTTTCCAAGGGCAGGTATCTGGTCTCTGCATCTGCTAGGGTTTTACTCACGTAGTAAACTGCCCTCTGTTCTCCCTTTTTTTTCTCTGATTGCTACTGCAGTTACTGCATGTTCTGAAACCACTAAGTATAGGAACAGCTCCTCTTCAGGTATTGGATTTGAGAGAACTGGAGCTATGGTCAAGTATTTCTTTAAGTCGGCCAAGATGGCTTTGCACTCTTCTGTCCATAAGAAGTCTGTGACTTTTTTCACTAAACTGAAGAAAGGTTTGCATTTATCAGAACTTCTGCTTATGAATCTGTTTAGGGTTGTAGCTCTTCTAGTCAACATCTGCACTTGTTTTGCCGATGTTGGGCTCTTTAACTCCAAGATGGCCTTGATTTGATCCGAGCTTGCCTCAATGCCCTTCCTAGTGACCAAGTATCCCAGGAATTTCCCTGACCCAACTCCAAATTCACACTTCGATGCATTGAGTCAGAGCCGAAATGTCCTTAGGATGTCAAAGACTGTCTTCAGGTCGGCCAGATGATCTTCAGGTTCCTTGGTCTTTACGACCATGTTATCAATGTATACCTTCACTGTTTTGCCTATTAGATGTCTGAACATCTTAGTCACCAATCTCTGGTAAGTTGCTCCTGCATTTTTTAACCCAAAAGGCATCACTCTGTAGCAATACAGCCCTCTTGGGGTGATAAATGCAATCTTCTCCTCATTTGGGGGGTACATGGCTATCTGATGGTACCATCTGTAAACGTCCAAGAAGCTCATCCTTCCATGCCCTGAAGTGGTATCCACCAATTGGTCAATCTTGGGTAGTGGGAAACTGTCTTTGGGACAAACCTTGTTCAGGCTGGTGAAGTCTACACAGACCCTCCACTTCCTGTTTTTTTTCTTCACAACAACCATGTTTGATAACCATATCGGGTAGTTTACCTCTCGAATGGCTCTGGCCTCCAGAAGTTTATCTACTTCCTCTTTTATTACCTCAACATGCATCAACGTCAGCCTTCTTGCTCGCTGGATGACAGGTTTACCCGACCTGTCCACATTTAGTTTATGGCAAGTGACCTCGGGGTCAATGCTAGGCATCTTGTATGGTGTCCAAGCAAACACCTCAAGGTTTTCTCTCAAGAATGCTTCTAATTCCTTTTCCTCTTCATCGGCCAAGATTGAGCGGAGGAGGAAGAAGCGCTCTTCATCCCCTTGCTAGACGAAGATCTTCTTCAGCGCTTCCTCACTTTTCTCGGCTGGTTCTTTGCCGACGTCGTCAAGGACCTCCATGTCATCATCTTTAATCTCTGTTGTTTCTGCTTCTCGTATGTTGCAGGTGGATTTTATTGCTACCATGGAGCAATTCTTTGCCAGCACCTGATCCCCTCTGACCTCCTCAATTCCATGCTCCGTTGGGAAACGCAATAGCTGGTGCAATGTTAAGGGAATAGCCCTTATTGCATGTAGCCATGGCCTTCCCAGGATAGCATTGTAAGGGGAAGGAGTGTCAATTATTGTGAACTCAATTTTTACCTTCTTGGTGCCAGCCTACACCTCCAAACTTACTGCTCCCAGGGGACATGTCGACGTTCCATTGAACTCAACCATTGGACCATTGGATTGTTCTAAATCATCTTGGTGAAGACCAAGCTCCTTGTAACACCTGACATATATGATGTCACAAGAGCTGCCATGGTCGATCAGAATTCGCTTTACCTGGCACTATCTAATCTGGAGGGATATTACCAAGGCATCGTTGTATGGATGATGCACCATCTCTAGGTCGTCTTCAGTAAAGGACAACATTGGTCCCTAGAACTCGTCTTCCCTAGGTCTCTTCTGCCGGACCTAATACACATGTTACAAGTGTTTTACCTTCTGAGTTTCCCCATATATCTCGTTCTCATTGACCTTCGAGTGAATCACATTGATCACTCGAGGTCCGCCTGCTTGCGGTTGTGGTGCTGGTAGAGGTGCTGTTGCCAGTGCCTGAGGCAGTCTCGCTTGCTCTTCCCTTATCCTGGTCTCATCTACTATGTCCCTTAGATGACCTTATCTTACCAGGTCTTCCAGATGTGCCTTTAGAGCTCTGCACCCTTAAGTTAGATGTCCATCCTCATTGTGATAGGCACAGTGTTTCCCCAGACTTCTTTCCATAAATTAACCAGGAATCCTCTATGGGGCTCTATAATAGGGCTAATTCCGAATTCTTTTCAAGACTTTGTAAACCGGAATTTGGAATACAGTTGTGACAGTTTTTGTAGCCCTTAATCCCGTCTCCTGTTTATTGTATCCACCATTACATCGGCCTTGCTTCGGCAAGCTGTTTCTCTTCTCTTGTTTTGACGCCTTTGTCCCTAGCGTGTCCTCCTCGGCCCTGGCATACTTTTGTATCCTGGCCATAAGTTCCTCTATACTTTTTGGTAGTGTCTTTGCCAGTGATTTTCGAAGCAAACAATCATCTTTCAGGCCGTTCTTAAAAGACACAACCGCCGCCTCTTGGTTGCACCCTGGTATTCGGTTGAACATCTCGTAATACCTTTTGGCATAGGCCTTAAGGCTTTCATCCTCACCAATTCTCAAAGTCATCAGGGAGTCCACCCTTAACAGCTGTAGTTTGTTTGTCACAAACCTAGCGACGAACATCTCACCCAGGCCTTTCCTGCTTTTCACAGTTCCTTTCGGCAACTTGTGAAACCAGTCTGATGCGATTTCCCCAAAGGATGAGGGAAACACTTTGCAAAGCAGCGACTCGTTCCCGGTGTACAGTACCATTGAGTTCAAGTACAAGCCGACGTGAAAGTTAAGGTCAGACTTACCGTCATATATCTGGAACCTCGGCATGTGGAACCTTTTCGGAGCCTCAAATTTGTCCAACTTCACTAAGAACGGCGTTCTCGGCATGACCGGAGAGGTTATCTCGGTATCTTGTCGCTTCCTCTGGAGGCAATCCCTCAAATCCTCCTTGGTCCGTCCAGGAGCTCGGCTATCAACGGATTTCAGCCTTTTTGGTGCACTACTCCTGGTGTCGTTATGAGTCCTCTTGGATCTCTCTCCATTAGTTACGTCGAAACAAAGTTCCTTCCCCTGAATATGCCGATGTTCTGTGGGGTCAGCTTCTTTGGTACAATGCGTCCTCCGAGAATCTCCCTTCATTGCCTCTCCTCGCCCGACCTCCTTTGAAGGCCAGTAAGAGTGTTCCTTGGTCCTGGTGTGTTGGGGGACTGTAGGGACTGTTTTCTGCCCCCCTTTCAGGGCATTATTCCTGGCCGCTAGGATCGGCGTGTCTTGTAGCGGAAACGGTGGCTGCATGACATTATTCTGCATCATGAAATTGACGACTGATTACAGGTCTGTCAATTTATTCCCCATTCCCTTCATCTCTCCATCCCTCCGTAGGCATCTATCTTTCCATACCTAAAGGTCGTTCTCGTTATACCCGCCTCGGTCTGCCTTCTTTGGTGCGTCTCCCTTCTGACCGACGTCTTTCTCTCCGGGATTCTGATCCCGAGTTTCTTCATTGCAATTATCCTCCTCTACGTTAGAATTAAAGTGTTTACCACTTCCAGTAGGGATGCCGTCCCCGATCTTTTCTTTCTATCTGTCGTTGGCCATCTATTCTCCTTTCTTTTCCATAGACGGCGCCAAATTGTGTGTTGTTTTCTGACCACACTGCCAAATAGGTACTCAGCTGCAAAACACCGGCAGAATAGATTGTGCCCGAACGACCTGTCACAGAAAGAAGAAGACTCCGGCGGTGGTTCTTCCACCCGGGGGCACTCCGACGATCAAGTCAGTAATCAATATCTCTAAAAAATAACCAATTGTGCTTAACTCACAAGCTAGAATACAAAAAGCGTACCTTAGACCCACGAGGGTGCCTTACTTTTATAGCAATCACTGACCTGATTCCTGTAGAAGCCTAGCTTCAATGGACTCTGGCTCAATACTTATCCCAGACTCTCTAATAGATAAAGATAAACTCCCTAAGAGTTTTATCTTTATCCAGGCTGAGGTCCTCCCCCATTCCAAGACTCTTATTCCCTATCCGTTCATCTTGAATTCCGGTATCTTGGCAGGTAACCTCGACCTAGCCGAGATCACCTCGGCGTCATGACCAGGACGCGTGGCACCTCAGCTGGCACTTCGGTGCCACCTTGACCACGTGTTGCTACTCACAAAAATATGTCCCCACATATAACATTATCTATTTATACATGAGTAATGTTAGAAATTCACACTTACAAATTCACTCACAATGATATAGTAAGGAGTTGAGTCTTATACCATTAATATGTAATAAATTAAAAAATAATATATATAATGTCACATTATTATAAATACAACTGTAAGAACATTTTACAAGTCTCAAACGTGCTCTTTTATAAATATGATTCAAAAGTTGAAGGATAAGTATAAAACAAGGACTTCTTCGTGTTGTGAGACAATTCAGATTTGTACGAGTCACAGCCACAAAGTAGGCCAACAATTAGTAGCACAAAGCCAAACACAAACTTATCCCTTATTTACATAATCCAACACAAACTTATCCCTTATTTACATAATCAAAAACTCCCCCAACTATTATGCCACACCTCCCCTTCTCCCTCTTTAAATTCACAACACCAACCTCCACATTTTTCTCGTTCATTCTTTTTTTTTTTTTCTCTCTCTCTCTCTCTCCTCTTTCAACTAAGCTGGACAAGCATACCACTCCCAACCCAGCTCAACTTATCAACAAATCCATATTTGACACACCACCACTTTATCTGACACACTCCAACTCATCACCTCTCTCTCTCTCTCACATGTTTGTCTAGAAGGACATCTTCATTTCTCTCCATTCTAGTTCTCAACTCCGGCCAACCCAAAAATGGACTCCAACCCTACTCGCACCACCACCCCAGAAGATCTTGAACACGCAAATCCGTACATCAGGCTGCCGGACCACCCAACCTCCGCCGCGTCTCCGCCGTATCACCGCGAACCCATTAAGAGTCTTGTCGGAATCTTCCTTTGTATGTTGTTTGTGTCTTCTATGGTTGCTTTGTTCTTCTCAAACCTTGAATCTGAGTCCCTATCTAAAGTCAATGACGATCGATCCGAGTCTTCTCCGTCGGTGGTGCCGAAGAGTTTAATGCCGCCATCGAGGGGGGTGCCGCAGGGGGTGTCGGAGAAGACTTTCCGGGACTTTTCCGCCGCCGGTCCGGTGTACCCTTGGACTAATGCTATGCTGTCTTGGCAAAGAACATCTTACCATTTTCAACCAGAAAAGAATTGGATGAATGGTGGGCTGCAAACAATTTTTTTATTTTTCTTTCTTTTTGCTTTTTAACTTGGTCAATCCATTAAATATATTTGAATAATGCTGTTCATAAAATAAATCAATAAATTACTTTGTGTATAAATATATATATATATATATACAAGCATAAATAGCGTTTTAGTAGATAATCCTAAAATAATTGTATTACAAATTGGATTCTTTTTATAAATGGGACTCTTTAGGTGTATAGAAAAGATTTGCATCTATGCCACCCTCATGAAAATACAGACTTGACTGTCTAATATATTTAAACTTTTCCTTATATATAAAATATATATTTTTTTAATAGTGAAATAATTTATTTATCAAATTTGTTATAGCTTGAATCGTCTGAATTTGTGTTGGCCGGACGATCGGCTTCACTTTCGTCTATCGTCACCCTTTCATTCGGATGACTGGCCGGATAATCGGCTGGTCAACTGGCATGAACAAATTTAAATAACTCAAATGACACCAAAGTCAATAAATGTAACGTTACTCATTTTAATATATATCATGTTGGTACTAATCAAAATCAATTGGTCTTTTTTCATGGCTGCTTTTTTGGGGGGCGTCGACAAATTTCAACTTCAGATCCCAATGGTATGTCTAATTTCCTTTCTACTGCCTTCTTGATTTTGTGTTTCCTGTTCTGTTTGGTTATTTGTTAAGAAAAAACAATAACAATAACAAAAATAAATAAATAGATAAGATAAGATAAGAAAACAAATTAAATAAAAGAAAGTAACTAATTTCTTGTTGTATTTGGTTATATTTGAAAAATAAAATAAATAGGTACTTCTTGAAAATTTAATTTTTGTTTACTAACTCATTGAAAAATAAATAATATAAGAAATCATTTTTATTTTAATTTTTTTTCTTTGAAAAATTCTAGATCCCGAAAATTCAATAGAAGTTCCTAAAGTAACCATGGGTTTATTTTTTTATCGATGAAAGTCAGTTGGTAATTGTTAAATTAACACATATGAGAGTTATAGTCTCTTTATTATTGTAAAGCACTAAGTGCTTACCTCCTTAATTCAACTTCTCCTTACGAAGAGTTGAATCAATGACCTACTCACTTGAGACTAAACCGTTAGACTGCATTTGGTTCATGAATTTAGAAATGTTTGAAAGGGGAAAGAGAAAAATATCTTTCCCTTCTTTCCTTTTTAAATTTTTTTACTCAAATTCATGAATGAAACAAAGCGTTAAGAGAATTAGAATGGCTAATTATACTGCTTAATTGGTTAAAGTAACCATAGGTTATAACTCTTGTAACAATGTTGTAACAATGTTTGCAGCCTTTAAAAACCAAAATTGCATGGTTTACCAGTCAATTGTTGTCTTGGTCAGCCCAAAATGACTAAGGAAATTTCCAGGAAACTAAAATATATTTAATATTATTATTATTTTTTCTCTGGTTGTTATATGGAATATTTATTACGAAAAAAATCAAAATACTAGTTTGATTGCTGGTAAATAAATTTTATAGTCTACATCAAAATGATAGATATAAGTCATATTATTTTAATAATGTTACAATTTAATGCATGTGTGTCAAGTCCTATGCCACAAACAGGACTCAACTCTATGTTGGGCTGGCATAGTCTTAATTATTGGAACGGTCTTGCTATTTATATAAAAAAAAAATAGGACCACATCATTTATCAATGAAAAATGTTTGGGAGCACTAATTAGTGCTCCCACTAATTAGGTGGTAGTGGGTCCCGCCATTAATGATGTGATGTTTTGGTCTTGGAGTTGTATTTTTTTTTTTTTTACTTTTTTAATGCATTAGTGCTATTAGTGGTGATGTTTTTAGTGGGATGAATCATTATTGTTTATCAATTACTGTATGATACATAAATGAGCACAGAATTACGTCTTCTTTTTAGAATATATTTTTTGAAAAATATTTAAAATTAATTGGATAAAAATAATAATAATAACACTTATCTTTTATAAAAATAAAATAAAAAATTCTGTGAAAATAATTTTTAATAAATTAAAATATTTTTTGATATTTAAATTTACCAAATTATTTTTTAATATTTTTCACGGGAAAAAAATTAAAATCAAAATCAAATAGAGTGATACACGTTTAGCACAACATGCACCATCAAACATAGAAATGATAACGGGGTGATTTTGTAGTCTCCTGTGTCATATCATATCGGGAGGGGACCGATTGAGGAGGTGACAACAGACTAATTTTGTAGCTTAAAAAACTTTTAATGTGATTTAATAATAGTAAGAGTTAAAAGCCGTAAAATGAAAAAAAAAATAAGTGTAATATTTTAGTATTTTAATATTATTGTATTCTGAGAATAAAATTATATATTATATATACAAATATATTTAATAAATATAATTAAGAAATTGCTCCACTCAATCTCATGGAGTGGGAGTGAGAGAAAAAAATGTCATCTATAATTAAAGATATCTTCATTTATTAATATGCTTATTATTTTAATAAATAGAAGCTTGTTGTGTAGATATATATATATTCTTCGTAATTTTGTTTTAATTATATTTAATCGTACTTAAATTTGCTTGTTACTATATATTTTCTTGGGAAAATAATTAATAAATTTTGTTTTACTCTCAAGATTACTATTGGGTTCTATCAAGTTTCAATATAGACAATTAATTCCTATTTGTCATAAAATAATCCCAAAAGGTTTATTCCTCCATAATGATGTATCTTATCCCACTTTTACCCCCCATTTAATATGAACAGTAATTTCATAATTATTTTTAATCTAAATAAACTTATATTTTTAATTGCAAAAATTATGATATTGTATTAAAACAAATCATAAATCACAATGAAAAAATTACCAACAAGTCCTATTTTGTTTTCAAAATTACTATTGAGTTATATCAAATGTCAATATTAATAAATAAGTTCTATTTTATTTTTTATTTTATAAATTGTTACACAAATTTCAGTTATTCATAATCGTATATTTTATTTTTCTCATTAAAATATGAACCATAGATTTCATAAATAATTTATTTTATATAAAATTTTATAATAAAAATATTTTAATTGTTGAAATTAAGTGAATTTTCATAAACAAAAGTATAAGTATAAGATTTGTCAACTATTTCATGCATTGAAAAATATATACATTTTTCATAATATTTTTTTTTCATAACACTTTGGAATTTTAAGAATTTAGCCTTTTAAAATTGCTTACACTTAAAAAAATTCACAATTTTAACTAATAAAAAATGATGCATTTTATTCTATAATTGTTTTGATGCAATGGTTATATATGATTTTTTAATATAATATTAATAATTTTTACAATTAAAATTTTTAATTTTAATTAAGTTAAAATTGTTTATAAAATTGATATTTATATTAAATGAAAATGGTAAAATTAGGATAAGATATATATTATGGAGGAATGAACTTTTTGAAAATATTTTATAACAAATAAAAATTAATTATTCATGTTAAAACTTAATAAAACTCAACAAAATAAGATTTATTTTTTTTTTCCTGAGTGAAACAAAATAGGACTTATTAACTATTTTCTTATTTTGTTTCTAGTCAATGAAATTAGTGTTATATGGAATAATTGTGTTTTTTATGTGGGTCATGAATACTCTGTCATCTGATGTGGAAAATTTGATTGGTCGATTTGTGGACCAATCAATTTAGCCTCTCCGAGTCTGGCATGATTTAAATGGATGGTGTGATGGGCCCATAAATAATTGAATATAATAGAGTTGAGTTTCATGGATAGGGGTTGTTTTGGGTCCCTCTCAATTTGTATATGCATGCTTTTGGTAATCTAAACAAGTCAATTTACAATCTAAAAGTATATAAAATGCAATTTAGATGATCACACTGCAAATTATTGGGAGATGTTGAAGGGTCACGTGCCTTTAGTCCTCCAGATTCTTTTATCTTAAAATATAAAAATAATCACTATTTAAGTCTTTTTTTAGAAAAAATAATTGATAAATAGAAAGGTGTCGTTATTATCACGCTTAACATGGTTGCTTTCACGCGAGTTTTAACATTTATATTGTGAAATAATATAGTTACCTTTAAGATCAAGAAAACACGTTTGTATTGTGTAATAACATAGTTCTCCATTTCATTTGTAATATCGATATCTCTTTGATGCTTACAAAAATAATAATTGAAATACACACAAGGAATATTATTTTATAGAATGACTTCTTCTTTTTTTTTTTTCCCTTATCTATTACAAAATTAAATTTCATTGTCAAACAAATCCAAATCAATTTTTGAATTTTTTTTTTTTTTTTGGGTGGTCAAACAATCCACTTTTCCGTTCCTCTCTTTTCTCCCTCATAATTTTCCAGGAAAAGTGGCTGAAACTTTCAAGAATACTTTGATGATTCATTGTCAAACAAATCCAAATCAGTTTTTGAATTTTTTTTTTTTTTTGGGTGGTCAAACAATCCACTTTTCCGTTCCTCTCTTTTCTTCTTCATAATTTTCCAGGAAAAGTGGCTGAAACTTTCAAGAATACTTTGATGATACGTCTTGCATTCTATATATATATATATATATTTTATAACTTGGTTGACAAATTATGAGGCTCAACAAGTTCTTTGACAATAATTTTGTGGTCATAGCTCAATTTCATGAACATATACGAACTCCATCACATCATATTGTTGTAAAGGATTGATATTTTATATCGACAATGCTACGTAGCTCAAATTTTATGGCTCAAAAGTGGCTCAAATGGCCAAAACGACGTCGTTTTGAGTACAGAACAACATAAAAATGGCCAAAACGACGTCGTTTTGGCCATTTGAGCCACTTTTGAGCCACAAAATTTGAGCTACGAGACATTTCCTATTTTATATCTACCATATCTCAGACTGAAAAAAAAAAAAAAAAAAAAAAATTTATTCAATTAAAATGTGAACAAAATTTTTTTTGTCTTTGTTTTGGATTAAAGATGTGATTGTGTTACACTAAAAACCAACAAACGTACACGACAATTTCTCTGACTGTGCGTTGCCACCTAATCCCTTGAATAGTAAAACAACAAAAACAAAACAAAAACATGCTCTCCAAATTTGAGTAGTACACGTAATAAATTAATTTAAAGAGATATCACCCTTAGGCTTTTACACCAATTTTTTGATTCACTAGAAGTAATTAAATGTAACCATCGTTTCTTAGGGAGTTTTTAGTTTATGGATTTGGTGAGTGATTTAGAAATAAAAAGAAAAAATGTGTGTAAAATGTGAATGAAATATAATCACGTTTTGTACACATTTTTTCTTTTCTTTCCTAAATCTTTATTCAAATCCATGAATCAAACACAACATTAGTCTTTCATATAGAAAGACTATTCTCTTAAAATGGTGAATGATGATTTCATTGATAATATATTGTCATTATTTTTTTTTGGATAAATTACAAACTCTCTTGAAGTTTGCTTGAAATACAGATTGTCCCATGTGGTTTAAAAAATTACAAATACTCCCTTGTTAGAATTTTTTATTTAACAGAATTAACCAAAAAATAAAATTCATAATTGCTCTTCTATATAATAATAAAATTACCTAAAATATTAATTGAAACATATTTCTAACATCATTAAAAACTGGTAATTAATTTGATGATTTATTGATAAAATGAGCAATTTGTTATGAAATTAGAAACCCCAGGGGGTGGAATGTAATTTTCAAAACCAAAGGGGGCGATTCATATTTTAATTAAATATCAGGAGATGTATTTGTAATTTATCTTCTTTTTTTTTTAACCAACCAAATAGAAAAATGAATATTTTATTAGAATGATCATTTAATTCCATTTTATTAGACCTCCTGGTACAATAAGCCTACGTCATTCCATTAACTTGCTCCCGAGGTAGGCCTGTTTGTTTGGAGAGTTAGAGGGGGATTCAGAATGCTAGTAAGGTGGGATCCACTAGCATTGCATTTATTTTTAGAGATGGGGAGGTGATTGATAATAAGTTTCGGATTATGAATCCCCTTGAGGAGGGGATTCGAATGCCCCTCTAAGACTTGGTATTAGAAAAATAATCTGTCGGACTAGAAATTTTTTATTTTTTACATGTTGGGCATTTTTTTTTTTTGAACATTAATGTTTAATTTTTTGTATTTTTTGTTTAGTAAAAGTCCTTATTTTATTTGTTTTTTTTTTTTTGGAACTTTTTTATTTTTTATTTTATTTTTTTAAAATTTTTTACATGTTGGGCATTGTTTAAAAAACATTAATGTTTAATGTTTTCGTATTTTTTTTATTTGTTTTATTATTTTATATAAAAATAATTTAACAATTCTTACACTAACAACTATTATTAAAACAAATACAATTTTACTTAATCCCCTCGCTGTGAATCCCTTTTATTCTGCTTCTGAAAACAAATGGCCCTTATTGGCATCTAAGTGTTCGGGTCCAATTTAAATCATATTAACAACTTGATCCATCATTTTGCCTATATACAAACAGTTATGCATTTTTACTTATATTGGATATTTAGGAGAGTAATAAATTTATAATTTTTTCATTGCATCTCTAGTTGTGGTTTTTTTTTTTTTTTTTATAAGATAGGCATTGCATCTATAGGCATTAAATAGTAAGTTTTTAAATTTGATTTGTAACTTAATTTCATTTACTTTTCGAGTCATTGATTTTTTTTGTATTATATATAATCTTACAGACATGAACTCAAAAAAATTAAGTCTTAAAATGTAGTATAGTTGGATTCATTTACGGAACAAACTGAACTCGAATAAAGTCAACTCATTTATTTTGTAGCCCTCATATGATGAACTTTACATGGTTGCAGGTCCACTGTACCACAAGGGATGGTATCACCTTTTCTATCAGTACAACCCAGATGCTGCAGTTTGGGGCAACATTACATGGGGCCATGCAGTATCAAGGGACCTGATTCACTGGCTCTACCTTCCCTTCGCCATGGTTCCCGATCACTGGTTCGATGTGAACGGTGTTTGGACCGGGTCCGCCACCTTCCTCCCCGATGGCCAAATCATAATGCTTTACACCGGTGATACCGATAATCATGTGCAGGTGCAAAATCTTGCCTACCCTGCCAACCTATCTGATCCTCTGCTCCTTAATTGGGTCAAGTACGAGAATAACCCGGTTATGGTCCCTCCACCCGGCATTGGTCATAAGGACTTTCGTGACCCGACCACTGCGTGGCACGCCAACGATGGAAAGTGGCGGGTTGCTATTGGATCAAAGGTTAATACAACGGGTATGACCCTTGTATACCAAACCACTAACTTCACTAGCTATGAGCTATTGGATGGGGTTATGCATGCGGTTCCGGGTACGGGTATGTGGGAGTGTGTGGACTTTTACCCGGTTTCAACTACCGATACGAATGGGTTGGACACATCATTTAACGGCCCGGGTATTAAGCATGTGTTGAAGGCAAGTTTGGATGATGACAAGAAGGATTATTATGCACTTGGGACATATGATCCAAGTAATAATACATGGACCCCTGATAACCCGAAGCTAGATGTGGGTATCGGGTCGCGGGTGGATTATGGAAAGCATTATGCATCAAAGACATTTTATGATCAAAACAAGCAAAGGAGAATCTTGTGGGGTTGGATTGGTGAAACTGATAGTGAAGATGATGACCTCTTAAAGGGTTGGGCATCCGTTCAGGTATATCACTTATATATCATCGTAAAATAATAAAAAAATCTCTCGTGTACCTAAAAAAATACTTAAAATTTTTTTCGAATTTTAGTTTTTAAGATATAGATTTAAATTTAGTGTGATGTGGATCACACCACAAAATGAATTTCGGAATTCTCTTATAGTAGATCTAATTTTCAAACTACAATCATTTGGAAAGTTTCAATATCTTAATAATTTATGAAATATGAACAAATTTCAAGTAGACTATAAAAGCACATCCTCATTTGTTGATTATGGACATCACATCACTCTTTCTTTTAGCATGTTAATAATAAAGCATGCCTCTTAGTTATGTGTAGTTCATAGAGCAAGACTTATATCCAAAATTTTAGTTTCAATTCAATTGGGTTTTGCTTACACAGAAAATCAAAGTTAGATATCATACAATACACAAGATTATGAGGCAAATGTTGCATCAAAGCCCCTCATTGTGTCATACATATGTATAGAAAAAAATGGAAAGCTCATAGTAAGTTGTTTAGTCATGTATGGAGAAGATTAATTTCTTGTTATGTTTCCACAGACAATTCCAAGGACTGTAGTGTATGACAAGAAAACCGGAACCAATGTACTTCAATGGCCAGTGGAGGAAGTGGAGAGACTCAGATCAAACTGCACTGACTTCAATGGTGTAAGGGTTGGACCTGGATTAGTCGTGCCGCTCAACATAAGCTCTGCTACACAGGTCCGTCTTACATTAACATTTTAATAAACATGGTGGATTATTACGGTAATCAATAATTGCATGTTAATTAATAATAGTCCATACTTGTGTGGTAACGGTGACAGTTGGACATAATTGCTACATTTGAAGTAGATAAGGCGGCATTGGAGGCAACATTTGAAGCCGATGTTGGCTACAATTGCAGTACTACTGGTGCTGCTGTGAGAGGCACTCTGGGACCATTTGGTCTTTTGGTTATTGCTGATGATTTGCTCTCTGAGTTCACACCGGTCTATTTCTACATCTCTAAGGACATCGATGGCACTTATAGGACCTTCTTCTGTTCCGATGAAATGAGGTTTGCTTGTTTCCCTCATTCTGTATTTATGAAACAAAAAGCAGAAAACAAAAACGTTACCAACTGAGTTTATTAGTGTTTAATATTAGATAGTGTTAATCGTATGCAGATCATCCAAGGCTTCTGATGTTAACAAAAAGGTTTATGGAGGCATGGTCCCTGTCCTTGATGGCGAAAAATTTTCTATGAGATTATTGGTATGTAAAATTCAGTTTTCGTATGAAATTTCATATTTTGGGTCAATATATGGACCTAAATGGTTTTTTTATAATTAAAAAAAAAAAATCAGGTTGATCATTCGATTGTGGAAAGCTTTGCTCAAGGAGGGAGAACAGTGATCACATCACGAATCTATCCAACGAAAGCAATTTATGGAGCAGCGCGAGCATTCTTGTTTAACAATGCCACAGGAGTGAGCGTCACAGCATCACTCAAGATTTGGGAAATGGATTCCGTAGATCTTCAACAATTCCCTTTTGATTCAGATGACGTAATGTTGCTTTAGTCAACCCAATCCTGTTATATTCGTCCATTCTTTGGTTGTTTGTTTGGTTGCTGGGAAAATTGGAAGAAGTAGGAGGGAAAAAATAGAATCATGCTGCAACTGAACTGATATTGTATTATCCCAATTTTCAAGATATGTTGTTTGGTTGGCAATATCTATTGTATATTTCATCCTAAGAAGCACGGACACTTCTAATAAGGTGACGTATCCGTGTCGTATCCGTGTCGGACACCGACACTCTTTGGACACGTGTCCGATACTCTTCAAAACGTGTCCTATTTTTTAAATATTTTTAAAGACCCGGACACTCTTTGGACACTTGGAAGACACACGTGTCAATTGTTTAAACACATGTGTCTATTGATTATACATATGCGAAACTAATTATAAGTTTGAACAAAACAACTTAAGATACAATAATAAAACAAAAAGCATATAAATTTATAGGAATTAGAGCTATATTGCATTTTTTATTATCTTTGAATGATATATTCATATATATAACATATAATAAATATATAAAATTATATATTTCATGCGTGTCCTCCACGTGTCGTGTCCTGCATTTTTTTAAAATTAACATGTCGGCGTGTCCGTGTCGTATTCGTGTCGTGTCACGTGTCCGTGTCCATGCTTCTTAGATTTCATCTAAACAATAATTTTGAAAGTGTTGAGATATCAATTGTGCCATTAATGCAAAGTATTGCTTGTTTGGTAGGCTCTGCCTAATCTATGTTGGCCACCAAAATGCATGTTGTTCTATTTGATCTCTGTATCCCTTCAGTGAGATTGCTCATTATGCAATGACCTTCTTTATGGTGCTTTCACATTGATTTGTTCACATTTTTTAACCTGTCCATGATTCCAAATGGTTTATCACTAACACTTGTATTAAAAAGAGTTTGTTTGGTTTCGAAATCAAAATTTGTCCAAATCTATAAATAAAAAAAGAAATCAAAATTTGTTTTCTAAAAAAAGATGAATGTAATGAATGTTTGTGGTAAAAAGTGACACAGCGAAGTTATATTATTTTGTGATAATAGTTCTACATTTTTCCTCTTAAAATAAAAAATAAAAAATAAAAAAATGAAGTAAAAGTAAAAAAATAATGAAAATTTTAGAAACATTCATCATTTTTCATATTGTTTTCTATCATTTTATTTTATTGTGCAAAAATTCAAAAACATATTTTTGATGTTCATTTTCACTGTACTAATTTTTTGTATTTTTCAAAAAATAATTTTGAAAATGAAAAAAGATTTTATTAAAGGAGCATTTACTAATAAATTTTATATCTATGATTTATGGACCATTTAGTCCCATAAATATATGAACCCATAAGTCCTATCTCACATTAGAATCACCCAAATGAAGCATACTCACACTTGGAAACATAATAAGACAATAGTATACACATTAGAATTATGTGTCATTGTCACATTTTAAAAATGACACATTTTACAAAAATTTAATAAGACAATAATATGCACAAATGAAGTATCACCATGTTTAGAAACTCTAGGAAATATCACGGTGTATATTTTCAAATTCAATAGGACTTAATTTTCTATAGAACAATTCGTAAGACTTTTCGATACATACTTTTGTGGGATAGAACTTCTAAGTAAATTTGCCTTTATTAAAACAACTCTAAGCTCCAACATATATAGGAGAAATGAACATGTTGAATGGTTTTTTTTTTTTTTTTTTTTTTGGTCGCGAATCTGTAAAAGATTATATATAAATATTAAGATATTTACATTAAATTGGACAAAATAATTATCAAAGAAAGTTCGACTACACATCCCTACTAGCTTAACAACATCATCCACTATAAGGAAGAACTTCATATTAGGATAGAAATAAACCACTAAAGAAAGACTCTGATGAAAAAAAATAAAAAATAAAAAATAATAATAATAAATTCAATATTTGTCTTCAGTAAGAATTGGTCCCTCTAATCTCTTATTTGAGATTGTATAAGAATGGCTAATTAAGTGGTTAATTCATGTTGAATAGAACTTATATCACAAAGAAAAGAAAAGGAAATAATCCATATAACAAAACCTACATAATTTGTTTCATTTGGATCATAGCTTGTTAAGCATGTGTGTGATGATGACCAATGATAATTTAGATTCATAGTTCTCTTTGATGGGCCAATCATGTTTGTAGCACAGCTTGCTAGCTAGGAAAGGCCCAGAGACGCCATTGAGTTCCCCAAGAAGAGTTGGTTCGGCCTCATACTCGAGTTCTTCGGCTCATTATGGTGGTGGTGCGTTTGCCCAACTTCAATTTGTTCTGTTACTCAAGCCCACACATTTCAATTAATCCGAATCATCTAATATTTGGACAATTAAGAATTAATCCGCGGAGGTTAAGCCTTTAGAACATGATCAATTGAGACGCTAAATGTGTACTAGTGGCAGTTGTTAAATAGTTAGTCGTGAAAATGTGCATTCTGGAGCTCAAATAGAGTAGCAAAATAGGCTCCCACTAATTTAAGATTTTAAAAGAGATGCTAACTCATAGATAAAGGAGCAGACTCAGCAGACTCAATGAATTATAAAGTGAATATCAAATCTAATACATAATTAATATAAATAAGTTCTCCAAATGAGAGAGAACCCAAATAATATACAGCGAGTAAAATCCACACACAAATAAGAATATTCAAAATACTGTCATTTTAGTGAAATATATTGGTTACCAAATCAACAAATCATTTGGTTAGTTGGTGGTGGTGTAACACCATTCAGATCTGTAGGAAAAATAAGAAATACATAGCAGAAATAAATAAATGGATTTGGGCATGCTCAAACCGAATCCATGAACTATGTAGGTAAATCACGTGCCTCCGAATCACCAGTCGAAATCTTAATAGTGGATTGATATTACAATGCGAGCAACACTCACATAACTCACAATACAAAGGCTTGTGTTTAGTTCTTCAATGGCAGAGAGATTGAAGCACTCAAATATTTTACCCACACAATATTACATTTTGCTTCTCCTTTTCCACACCCATAATGATATCTATATGATCAGTATATAGAGAGATAGGTAACCACCCATTCTTATCCTAGATAAGATAGGATGGTAAGCTATTCTTATCTATTAGGATAACTTTGAATTTAAATTCAAACTTAAATGCATATGGGTTTTATATGAGTCATGGGTCATGCCACCATGGGCGTCCAAACCCTAGTCCGAAACTCGACCCGTTTGCTAACATCTCCCACTCGCACATGGGTTGGCATAACGTTGCTGCATCTTTATCTCTATTTGCTCAAACATAGAACAAACACATACTAGCTAATAGACTGTGCGACTGCTAAAAACACCTGCATGTGGGAGCTATATACTAGAAACTCGAAACCAGCCAGAATAGAGACATCAACCAAAAGATAAAAATAACATCTTGTGTATCCCAGACCATCTAATTAGACCGGTCCAAAAACATCTCTAATCGCTCAAAAGAGCATGTTTGACACTCTCAAATCTTGTAATATATTCACACTCAATCTGCCTCTCATATAGAGCGATGTGAGTTGCCAACAGTGAATATACAACAAAGGTGTAATATTAGATGATCTTCCCTTCTCCCTCGTGCTATTTAGTTTAGGATTGATCACTTTCCCAATAATGTCCTTTAAGGCCGAATCATACATCATCATAGGCAGCATACCAAAGTAATTAAACATCAACTCTTCACCTTGTGACATAGTCAAAAGTCACAAAATGGTACAAAAGTGAAAGTCATATTAACGATGACATGTAAGACTCACACGATGAGGAAATTGTGATCCATTCTCTCACCTCATTACTTGGTCATGAAGCACATGTGGTATGAATACATGCTACGGTCAAGTAACTCTTCCAAAGAGTGATGTCACACTCCATACCTTGTACTGATCTTAGTCACACTCCATACCTTGTATAGCTCTTAAGTGCATGAGTCACTTTCTAGTGCTTAACCCGAATTATCTATGTGCTTGCTTTTTAGGTGCTAAATGAGAGCTGGCATTTGGCTAATTATAACAGGCAATATATAGGAAGTAGGTACTAACATCTATGTTTGGTCTTCAATATGACCTTATTTTGGCTCCAACCAAGGCGACATATATAGTGGATAATTTGAGCCTTTCTTGGCTCCTAATAAAATAAACCACTAGTCTCATTCTTGCTCGTTTCCAAGCGCTAAGGGCAATTGCTCGCGTGAGTAAGCCAATCTTGTCTGCTGACATCGTCATATGCTAATCATTATGCCACAAACCATAATAGCATAAATATCCCATAATCTAAAAGGAAGGAGGGGAAACGATCGATTGAAAAACAAAACTACAGTTTGCGCAATTCTAGATTCCAAACATAGGCCCTATCAGCACCTCTTACGATAAGCATATACAACGGAATCTAGCATGTGTTCCTCACATGAAGTGGTTCAAGATCACTACCTCTTGCACAACTACCTTTCTAAAGACATTTTGATGACCAATTTGCGTTCATTCAAGATGCCCAACTGGTGTATTAAATCTTACAAGGGGCAAATTTATACATTACCAGTAGAGTATCATATCTACAGTAGCAAGGTCAAGGTCTAAGTCAAGGTCTAAACTACTCAGTTGACCATATACAAAATATAACACTCATTATGTTGAATACACCCACATAGCGTACTTCAAGCTCCCACAACAAAATCTGAGGATTCACTTAATAGTCGAGCCTCTAACTTTCACCTACAGGTAAGTAAATGGGTTTTCAATTTCACATCTAGAATCATTCTAGGGTATTCCTTATGTAAGTCATCAAAGACAAACCAAGAATTTTTTCAGAACAACCGTAAAGATCGTACATCCGAGCATATAAATTGCAACACCAATGTCCATCACGTCTAAGATAGAGGACTGCCAAACCCTAGGTGGTGACATCCCATTAAATTCCTAGCTTATAATGACTTAGTAAGGAAAAAACTTATTTTGGACCATAGATCATCGTTAGCCCATCATGACTCAATGAAATCTAAGAACCACTAATTGGATAACTACTTTAGGCTGTAAAAGATTTATTGCAACTAGCAACATTTTATGCACCTAACTTTTTTCTATAAAAGCAGAAAGTAAATCTCTATGGATCTACTTACCAAATCTCCAC